TCCCTGACAACAAGGGGCTGGAGTTGGGAACAGGCGCGGATGTGCAGAACATCCAGTTACGCCCAAGCCATGATCACATTTACTCCTGTAAGAAACATCATACTGCTGGAAAAGGAATAGTCCTCCAATTCCTGAGGCCTCTCCCTTCCCATGGCACCCTACAGTCTCCCAGTGCACCTTCTGACACCCTCCAATACCGCTCCAAAAGTACCCCAGTACCAGGCCTGATATACACCTCACTTCTACACTGAGTCTGGATCTTAGACTGGATCTAAGTCAAGGATCTTAGACTCCAAGGGCCCCTCTGCTTGCTACTGCAGACACTGTGCACACAGCTCTGCAGGCACACAGGTGCGCACCATCATGGGGCATCACAGAGGGCAAGGCTTTAGAAGAGATGCATTGCCATTTCGTCTATAATCATGTAAACCTGTCGGCAATGAAAATATGTAGGAATAAGAAGCATCTGAAGCTTGCCATTTGCTTAACTGATGGAATGATAGGCATCCTTTAGAAAGAATGTTATTATAACTGCACAGTGACCTGGAATGATGCTATATTAATGTATGTGCACACAAAGGGTTGCTGAGTTCTGGTTAAGAACAAACACAGGTATCCAATAGACCGGGGCTCTTCCCTCTCTGTAAAGTGGGTCCAGCACCGTTATGATCTTAGGGAACTGACATGGAACACAAGTGCCCTCCATGGCGCTTGTCCCACAGTGAAAGGACTCAATTAACATTGGTGAAAATAGGGCCTCCCCTGGTGGTGCAGAGGTTCAGCGCTGGACTGCAAAGCTGCCCTCAGCCTCTGCAGCACCAGGTTGATCACAGGCCGCCAGCGAGGGTCCCACATGGCACGCAGACCTCTCCTGCTGCGCCCGCTGCTCCCCTCAGCAGTGTATTTCGTCAGTCTGCCTGTTCTGTTCCCCGCTCTGGCTCTGGTGAATTCTCTCACCCTCCAGCGCTTCTGACTGTACCCTGTGCTTGTATAAATAAATAAATCTTAAAAAAAAAATTGGTGAAAATATTGATGGATACAAGCTAAGAAAATATTTGCAGCTCCTACCACACAGGTTTCATATTTATGATCTATAAAGATCCATTGCAAACCAGTAAAAGATCAATGACTCAAACACAAAAATGGGCAAAGGACGTGGACAGTTGCCACCAAAAATAAACAAATTATTCTTAAATATACAAAAGATGTCCAATTGTACTCAGGTGAAAGAAAAGCAAAATTTAATTTTGAGGTAAGTTTTCCACCTATAAAATTAGTTATCAATATGGGAGGAAAGATTTACCTTCATCTAACTCTACAAAGTTACACGACATGTTGACATATGTACCCAACTTTAAGATATAGTATCTCTAACCCAGACATTCCAAGAACTTATATTCAAATATAGTGATACTTTAGACCTCAAAAAGGCTCTTTTTTTAAGGTACAATGCTACTTTTGTTAACAAAAAGTGAATGTGGAAAATCTAGTATTTAATTGTATATTTGTACTTTTATATGCAGAGACTAGCCCTAGAAAGACCAAGGAGAAACTGCTGACAGTGTTTTTTTTCTAGAATGGGGTAGACTGTATATATAGATTTGTGAACATATATTCACTGTGTCCTTTTCTACATCTTTTAAATTTTAAGCCACACGCATGTGTTAACTTTAAAAAAAAAAAAGAATTAAATACATAAAAACATAAATAGTAAGACAGAGAGATGGGCAAAAGCTAAAATGAAATACAGTGCCCATGCTGGGAGATTAGGCACCTGGAGATTAGATTGTTGTCCAAAAACCAAAGGCATCATTTATATTGTTTGGAAGAATCACATCAATATATTAAGGGTAGTTAACCATAACCCTGGAAAATGGGGGGAATTCAGTGTTGAAAGATTAAAGCTGGAGTCTATAATTTTTATTTTATAAAAGTTTGAATTAATGAGCATGTATTACTTTTGCGAATAGAAATGTAACGTTTGAAAGTTATCAGACTTCAACAAGTCACATATTTTGAGCTTTAAATCTAGTGAGGCTTAAAAAGGGCCGAGGATTGTCTACTTATTAAGTGTTACCATGCTGCTTATTTCCATTCCATTTTCTACCCCTCTAACAAGAAACGAGGTCTTGACTCAGTCATGAACTCTATCAAAATATGGACTTTCTCTCAAGGAAGCTGAGCTTTCTTTCTGTAATCTATCATATTTTTTAGGAGCAGATTCTCACTTTACACAATAGTATGACAACATAATCCTCTTTTTCCATCAAAGAAAAGTAACTGATTTGCTGTTATTCATAGACATTTTCCTTCCATGAGCTGCCTATTCCCAGAAAAGTTGTGAAACACCCTTCAAGTAGCCAAATTCCTCTTTGGGAGTCAAATGTCACAGAATTTCATGAGCTATGTCACAGACGGGATATGTCATAGGAAACCCCCATTGAAAAAGTTTCCTAAGGTCTGATAAGTCAAGAAGAGAACAAAAATTGGAGACTGGCTTTATCTGTTATTCTCAGCAATGTTATTCTCAGCAGTTTGTCTTTGCTCCATTCAATTTAAATGTGCAGCAAGTCAATCTAATAACCACCACCCACATGGGTGGATTAAAACAGACAGGTGCTCATGTGCTAGCGTGCACACACACACACACACACACACACGCAATTTTAGTGAATTTGAATCAATTGTCTGTTCTAAAAGTTCTTCAAAGTTTTAAAAATAACATTTTCATTTTGCTGCATTTTGTCTTTGGTAAGCAAAAACATCACTTATTTATGTAGAAAGTGAATGCTAAGGGATTTGAGGATAATTACATCAAGGCAATCCTGAACCCTGGATCCAAATATCAGTTCTTCCTCGAAATCCCTTCTCTTTTGTCACCAGGTTCCCAGCCCTTGACAGACCTGGCAGCATTTAACACGGAACTGAAACCTTTTCTAGATTTATCCATCAAGCTCTTCCCTGCTTGTGTAATCAGCATGTGTAATCAGCAAGCTTTCACATCCCCCAAGACATCACTCACAATTCTGGAAAAAGGAAAACCCAACAATCATAAGGTGTTTCTAAATTAAATACCTGATGAGTTGTAAGAAAACTCAACAAAAGGACCTACCACCTACCAACAAGAAAAAGATCCTATTGAATCAGTTACCCATTGATTACCAGGGAGCTCTTGCAAGGCCCTAGCAGCCAGAGGACTGGCCTCCTCGTGGATGCTGGTGTCACTATGAACTTCTACTCACTCTGTAAACTCATAAATGGCCTTTTCTTAAGTTTCTTCAAAAGCACAAAACCATATGTGAAGCCAGACTGGGCAGCAATGGATCCAATTCATTTCAATATACTCTGGGAGGAAGAGAGAACTCCAGGAAAGTCCAGATGGTTAATCTGAGAGTCCTGTTCTACAAGGACTAAGTGGGGATCCTAAATCAGGACATAGGGCCCTGGCATGGGGGCAGGCAGTCAAGCTGTGAAAATTCAAGTCAGGCTCACCCAAGTTTTCTGCCCCTATCTCATGCAGCAAGCATAGGATTCTGAGCCTGGTAGTAGTCCACATGTGGCTTAAACCAAGAGCAATTAACCCACAACACTGAGGACCTTGTTCCTGTTGACTGCCCTAATACTGTGCTTAAGCCAGAATCAGGAGGAGCACATGAGTCACCCCTCGGCTGCCCTCAGCTCTGTGCTCTCCCAATTCTGCCCTGGGTCAGTTCTGCTGGACCGCACTCTGGGAAAAGTTTGGGCAGCCCGGCCCTGGGGGCAGCTAAGGGCCAGTCACCTGCTTCCGTCTACTGCTTTTGTGACTCTGAATGCCAGGAAGGAACCTCAGCAGGAGAAGGAAAGCATGGAATTTCTCCTTCTACCAAGGGGCTGCGCGATAAGAATAAGCCAGCAGTAAGATGGGGTGCAGGGGGAGTTGTGGGAGGGTGCTAGGCTTCGTGCAAAGAAACATGCTCCTTCCTTTTGCTCAGGGCTGACCTAACCTGACCACCACCTCACGTCTCATTTGTGAGCAATCTTCTGCCCAGCCACGGATGCCTGGGAGCAGAGCGGTGTAGTTCAGAGGCTAGAAGCAATACTGATTATGGAAACAGGATAAAGTCTGAGAACCTGTACCGAGGAAGGGGTTGCCTTTGCTTGCTCAGCTTCTGCTTCATCCTGTTTACCCTCCACAGGCCCTCTTTGATCTAGTGGCCAAAGGCTGCTGACAATTTTGCTGCCATGGTTTGTAGATCATTTTATTCTCCACCTATTTACGTGTGATAAGATGATCCAACAGGAAGAACAGGAGTCTAGAGAAAAGCAGGTCAGCATTTGAATCTTGTATCTCAAACTGCGTGGTGCTTATGCAAAGGATTTTCTCCTCAAGGAAACTCAAGCTCCTTAACTGTTAAATGGGTGTGACAATTACTGCAAAGGGTTAATGAGTGTCCCTCCAAAAGTCATGTCCACTTAGAACCTCAGACTATGACCTCATTTGGAAATGGTGTCCTTGCAGGCATAATTAGTTAAGATGAGGTCACACTGGAGGAGGGTCAGTCCTAAATCCAAAGACTGGTGTTCTTATAAGAAAGGTCATACATATACACGCGGAGGAAGGACGTCATGTGAAGACAGAGGCAGAGATTGGATTGATTCACCACCCGTCAAGGATTACTGACACCACCAGAAACTAGGAGAAAGGCATGAAATAGATGCTTCTTTTCTGGGGGCACCAACCCTACTACCCCTGATTTCAGGCTTTTGGTTCCTGATTGCCATAGCCACTAAGTATGGAGTAATGTATTATAGCAGCAATGGGCAACTAACACGCCTCCCTTCTGAGGCTGTAGGAAAAGATGGCCTGAGACAGCATGGGGAGACAGCAGCTTATTCTTGCTCTCCATTCTAGCAGCCAGGCCACAATAGGATCTTTCTAGCCTTGTCAGAGGGGGGTGGCCCCATGGTGTCTGTGCTTTTTAAGACTACAGACAAAAGAGGAAGAGCAAAGAGGTACATACCTGTGGTACAAGGGCATTCTCAGACGGCAATGGCTTCAGGCTTACCAAGTGCCTTGCCGGAGCAGAAGCACACATGGATAATGCTGATCCCTGTTTGGGAAGACAAAAGCTGCAAAGTCTGGGAGCTGGCTATGGGTATGCGCCTTGCCAAGCTGGCAAAGGAACAACAGGACCTGAGGGTCTCTGGCAGAGGTTGAAGATAAGGTGATCATAACCTTATATGTGCATGATCTGCTAAGCTATTTTGATGCACAATCTACACTTATTCCTCCAAACCAAACTATGAGGCCAGGGCTCTTGATATGTCTATGGCACAACTCAGGAAATTGAGTTTCAAAGAGTTTAAGTGACCTGTCCCATGACATCGAGCAGTAAGTGTTGAGACTGAGATTAACACGAGACCATCTCCCTCATGGACTTTAACTACCATCCTGCCTCCTGTGGATGTGAAGGTAGAAGGCAGAATAATCTGGACAGAGTCTTATCAAACAAGATTAGTGCTGAGATTCTGTATCTATATTACCATATACTCCAGATAAATTCCAAACTTCCCATGGCCTTTCTGGCCTAGTTGTGTGCTAGATTTCTTTACAAGAAATGCAAATGGTATGGCTGACACAGTTAACAATTATTAATTGAACATGACAAAATGTAGACATTTTATTATGCCCTCTATATACATTATCTCAATAACTACACACAGCCAATGCCCTGAAGTTGGATATACTTCCTTATTCTGAAGATGAAGACACTGAAGCAATTTGTCCAAAAAACACAGAGCAATTCAGTGGCAGAGTTGAACTCTAAACCCTGGCCTGTCCAGCTTTCTGAAGCTCATGCTAAAGAAGCAAACCTTGATGTCCTTTTTACCTTCCCAAGACATGTGCCATGCCATGGCTCATGGAATCCATGAACTCACTTTGAGCTCGTAGCTGTACTTTGGGTGGCAATGATAAAAAGCTGTGTCTGCCATCGGCCCCTACTTCAGATGCCTGGAGTTCTTCTGCAAATGTCTAGGTGAGTGGCTTTCTCTTCAATTGAGTCACTGGAATTCTCTAGCTTATGTCTGGCCACTCCCAAGAATGTTTGTCTTGTACACAGTTTGGACTACAATAGCAGGCAGGCCATTCCGGACACGGACCCCTCTCCAAACAAGCAGGGCAGAGGTGGGGGTTCAAGAACAGGAAATAACAGGGGCTGGGGGGCTTCAATGCTGCAGGCACACAACCAACAAATACCTCAAGCTGTGAAATGTTAAAAGGTTGCTGAAACCGAAAGGCCAAGACTTGACTTGGGCCAGGATTTTGTTGTATTCTAAATCTCTGCTCTCCCATTTTCCCCTCCTCCCTCCTTGGTTTTTTAAAGCACAACTTACACAAAATAAAAAATATAGCCCCAAGCCACACTCCCTGCATTAGTGTTTTCAGATTGAACCTCAGAATGGACTAAACTCTTGCATCTCATTTCAGCAAGTCATTTGGCCCTTAGGGAATGGGGAGGGAGAGGGAGGGAGAGAGGCTTAATCTTCAAAGACAGGTTTGTAAGCTTCCCACTAAGTTCACCTCCTTCAATGTCTCTGCACAAAGTCGACACACATAAGTTAGCATATGTTTTCCTTTCAGTAACATAGCCAAACCTCTTATGAAAAGCATTCTTTAAAAATCACTTCCTGACTTCACTCTCTAATTCATGTTTAGCCAGTAATGTACTAGGCCATCAGTTTCAGAGTTTGTTATAAACAAAACAATAACCCAAGAAAATGTGAGATATTTGAACACTGAGCCCAATTCAAATCAGTTCAATACTTAAGAATTCAGAACATGAAAGCACCACAACAACCACTTCTGGGACCAGAGATGCCAAAGATGAAAGAAGTCAGGTGTGTAGTCCAGAAAGATGGCCCCAGTTTGTGATCTGAACCCTGGCAGCCCAGTGAGTGCTCCAGATCAAGAGGGCCTCTGTGCCTGGCTCTGGGTCTTCCTTTCCCCAACAAAAGCTCAGGTACTGACTGTTCCAGAGGACCTGTAACTTACTAAGCCCTAACTGGGGAGCTCCCTAGCAACCCAAAGTATAAAATGGTCCCAATAAATATCACTTGGACTTTTTTTTTTTTTTAAAGAAACAACAGACTCTTGAATTAAGGGCCTATCACCCTTTTCAAACCTCACCTATTTTCCTAAGCTGCCTCACTGACCCCTCCGCCCTGGCATGCCCTTCCCTCTCTCACTTTCCAGCAAGGCCTTCGTCAACCGCATCTTGAAGTCTCCCACCAGGAGAGAATGAACAACTGCTCACCTTGTCACACCTTGCAGGTCCTTCTAGGACCTAAAGGTATAGTTGAGACCCCTGAACGGTTGCCCAGAGGTTAGCGGAGATGTTCTCCTCAGTCACTGACAGTTAGGGCAGTCACCACTATCTTCTCCACTCCCTTCCCAGAAAACTGGAGTAGGAAGGAAGCTTCTGTGAGAAGAGAGGGCTTTAATTACCCCAACCTGAAAGCTGACCTCTCAATCTCAAGATTTCTGAAGTTTTAAGAATATAACACCTCACTGCTTAAATTTTCCCTCAGAATTACAGCCCTATTGTCAACCTTAAATAGTATTGAGCAATTTTAAATTTTGAATCCCGTGAAAAATAAACTCTGCACTATTTTTTTTTTCCTAGCATTACAAACTCCAAATTCTGTTGATGCTTTACTTCTCAGAAAAGAATAATTTGGAGCTGCAATTTTTATATAATTTTAAAGTATTGCAATAAAATATGTAGAAACTAAAGTTGCTATTTTTACCATTTTAAGTGTTCAATGAAATGGCATTAATTACATTTACAATGGTGTGTGACCATCTTCACTACATACTTGCAATTTTTTTCATCACCCCAAATAAAAACTCTGTACACACTGGCAATATGGGGTATTATTTTTGAGATATCTTATGAGGCTAAACGAAGAAGGAAATAGAATCTAGGTGGCAGCATTACATCTTTGTAGCAAATTTAGGGAGAAAATAGACTGGGAGAAAGTAAAGTGACTATTAATTGTGTTAGGGTAGTGGAATAACTCCCCTATCTTTCTACATTTTTGGTAATAAATTTATAATAGCCCCTTTCAGTTCATTAGCATACCAGAAAACTATAGTTATACCAAAAAAAGTAACAGTGAAATAGTTTATGAAATGATATTTTCCAGAAAAGTTGTGTGCAAATTAACTATGGTTTTTCACTATTTAAAAATTAAACAAAAACCAAAATAACCTTATTTTTGACTTACATATATCTCAAGCACACATTTACAGCTCTGCTTCATCTGCATAATAGTTCTAATATCGTTACCTAATACTTCTATTATTGTTATAAAAATACATGCTTTTACTTTTTATTTTAAAAAAAACCAAAAAAGCAATTTAATAGTATTAGGACCACTTGAAGGAATTAAAATGTTTATGTGTTTGGAAAGGAAACTATGATTATCTCCACCCCAGCCTCAAGTGATTTAAGATCTAATTTCTACAGAGACTTTAAAAACAAACCACATAACTAGAATACTTTTGCACCTCTGTCACCTTCTGCCTGGGTGCAGATTAGCCTTTGCATTAGAATATATCTCACACAGATAACGTCAATCAGTGGTTAACAACTCAAGAGATAATCCCTTCCTTGAAAAGTCTGTTTTTAGTTTAACCTTCCGGTAGGTTAATTGATGACTTATCTTCCATTAGGAGCTCCTAGCACTTCAAAGCATTGTTCGGGAACAGAGTAAAGTAGACTGAAAAGAGGGAGGCTCCTTAACCCTCAGGGCTAATTGCTGGAATTGAATATTTCCTAATGGAGATAGAAGCTTTCAGTTTAATAAACAAGCCACTTGTTTGAGAACTAAATGAAAATCCAATTTCTGAACTGCTGAGGGATGTCTGTGTGCACATGTGCTGTGCACACACACAAGCAACACAAGCCTTTGTCCTCCTGGCCTCTCTACTCCACTTTTGATTGGGGATTCTCCCCCTTTCCTAGCCACCAATCTTGCTGCAGTATGGACTCAACACACCTGGAATCAGAGGCTGCTCTGGGGACAGAATACACTGAAGTTGATTCAATTCCCAATAAGATGTACAAAGCAACCAAATTTTAAGTAGTAATAATACGAACGTGTAGATGCTAGAATGGAACCACTTGCACAGGAGCTTCAATGCAAGTATTTGCATCAAAATTGATGCTGTGCGCATTTTCTGGTACAATTAACCCAAGAATTCTACTGCAAGCCAATCTTAAAAGAAGACATAGGGTGCATGTGTTTTAAGCTTCCAGTTTATCAGTCCTGAAGGTAAAACTCTTCAGGAAACCAACCACTGAAAGGTACAAAGACCCTAACTGAATTTACAGTGTAGGAGTTCTAGCTTTGCTTCTTGTGCCATCTTTATTTCTTCTCTTGTAAAAGGGGGGATACTGCATAGACGATACCATACATCTAAGAGATAATATCACTAGCCTGATCAATCTGTCAACTAACATCTCAATTTAGGGGGTTGAGTTCCAGAGAGAAAGGGCCAAGATCATCACAGGACACAAACACACACCTGCTTATGTCATATTTCTGCAGCACTAGGAAGCTTAACACAGATGGTTTCAACAGCAGTCATATGAGATAGCTTGGATCTTTCATCATTATGTTTCACAGATAAATACACAAAGGAGCATAATTCCAGGTTCAAAACAGGTACAAAACTCTCAAGTGCGTCCAGGCTTGGACGTAGGCTCACACGCTCAGGACACAGGCCAAGGGAATCAGGTGGTTTCATTCCACATCTGTGAGCTTTGGCAGCTCTCTATCTTGACTCTGCCTTCTTGGAATTCCTAGGCTGGGTTCATTCTGCTCATCCCAAATATTTGAGCCTAAGGAGTTTCCAGGCCAGTGGAGCTGATAAACCAAGGCCTTCCACCTGCTATAAAAACCATCTTCAGAACTTGATAAGAGGAGGTCTCAGAGGTGTTGATGGTTATTTTTCAAGTCACTGGAACATAAGCAGATTAATCGTTAACTGTTTTTACCCTGAGTGTTTACTAGGAACTCAGAGATTCAAGATTCAAGAACTGCA